CTACTACTAATACGACTACTACTACGACGACGACTACTACTACTACGACTACTACTACTACTACTACTACTACTACTACTACGACGACGACGACGACTACTACTACTACTGCTACCACTACTACTACTGCTACTGCTACTGCTACTGCTACTGCTACTGCTAAGGCTGCTACTGCTACTGCTACTACTACTACTACTACTACTACTACTGCTACTACTACTACTACTACTACTACTACTACTACGACTATCACTAAATACCACTACGATTACAAAGACTGCTGCGACTACCTGCTGCCACTACCACCACCAGCACCGCCACCACCGCCACAACTGTTAATTGCCATTTCTCCTCCTCGAAAACAACACATCTATGATGATGACGACGAGAACCACCACCACCACCACCGCCGCCACCCCCACCCCCACCCCCACCACCACCACCACCACCACCACCACCACCACCATTTACTACGTCGTTACTGTTTCTCCTCAAACACGACAGCTCCTATGTTGACGACGAATCAATGCCTTGTGCGTGCAAGCGTGTGAATTTACCTTGAACCGCGGCGTGTTCACCGCGAACACCAGGTGTGGAAATCATCGCGGAAGCATCACCAGTGCCTTCCAGGTCAGGGCTTGGAGTGCAGAATATGGGACTTTGACAGTTGATGAGGTTAGGGTTGGGGTCCACATAAAAATCCAGGGCGCAGCAAAGACATGCAGACTAGACTCTTGCATGTGTGGCTGAGAGGCGAGAAAGCCAGAATGATACATCAACACAAGTATATGTTCGGACGGGTGCAACAAGTTCTTTGGAAGATGATCTTGACGTTGTTCATTCGATCAGACAGGTGAGCTTGGGAACGACGGGTAAAGGGAGCGTAATTGCCAGAAACCAATATACTTCGATGCTTGTCACGAATCCGCTCCAGTATCTGTGCTTTCTTTAACTTGGTGACTGCGCAGGACGACTGCACAGGCAGCTGCCCGAGAGGCTTGGGTTTAAGTATCGGTGAAGGGTTTGGGGCTATTGAGTTTGAGGGACTTCGGGCTAGGGTGTAGCGATTCCTTTCCCAGTTTCGTTGCAACTGCTTTCCTGATCTCATCAAGCACTGCAGCCTAATGCCCTGCAGCAGATGCAGCAGAACCCTAGTCATGGAGCCCCTTTTGTTTCGCACATTCCGGCCATTTTAAGGTCTGTACTTCCTTGACCCCTAGACAGCCGATGCCTGTCGCCCAGAAACCCAGAACTCAAAAGCAGTTCTTTTGGGATCGACAGCGTCCCCTTCACCCACGGGACACCGAAAGAGGCCAATAAACTAATTAGAGAATCTACAAATACAAATCCCGACAGGTTTGTTCAGAATCACACCCTGGAAATCCCCACCAGCCCTCAACCCTCAGAGGAGATCTGCTTAGCTGACTAGCCATATCAGGATCTCTGGCTCTGGAAGCCCTGCAGACACAAGGGTCTCCGTTTTGCTTGAAACCCTGCAGTTTTAATCCCCGAGCACAAGAGGGAATCCGTGCAGGTTTTTGAGCTTTAAAGCCAAAAACTTCATGAACTGCCCGAGCCCACCAACAGGCTAGAATCCTTCAATCCTAAACCCCCTAAAGCCTATAAATCCTAAACCATAAACCCCCAAACCCAAAGCCCTGAAACCCTAAACCCTAAACCCCTAAAGCCTAAACCCTAAATCCTAAACCCTAAATTAAGGCCCGAGCTTCCCTCGTTTCACCACAGGCCCAACTACGCGCGAGCGAGGCCGGGCGGTCGGCGCTCCTGGCGGCGCAGGCCAAGGACTGGCCCTGAAGAAGGGCTTTAGGCCTTAGGGATTAGGGTTTAGGGATTAGGGTTTTGGGTTTAGGGCTTAGGGCTTTGGGTTTAGGGTTTACGGTTTAGAGTTTAGGGTTTAGGGTTAAGTAGAGTTATCAGGTATCAGAAAATAAGTATAATGTAGGGGCCTTAAGAATTAGAATAGGATTTTGGGGCCCATTATACCCATTTTTCGAAGGAACCCCCAAAATGGTATAGGTAATTTTTGAGGCCCCTATAGTATGCTAAGTAGAATTTGAAACGTATCCTAAAACGAGAAGGTGATAAAATCAGGGGAGACGACAAGGGGATACTGTGAGGGGTTGCTAGAAGCACTCGCTATCAGGGGGAGTGTAGGATCGCATCATGATTTCTGATAGGGTCTGTGAGGTTGATGTATCCTTGTCAGATCTATCATCTAGAATCGTTGTCATGGTGTTTTCAAGGTATATAGGGTCTAGGGAGTCTAGGGGGGGGTTGTTCTCGGATCCTCTTAGGGCTTGAGGCATTCACATACTGCTTCGGTTCTCGGGTGTAGTATATGGGCTCTGCTTGAGGATGCAGTGCTGCTCGGAGCCCCAAGAGAGACCTGGAGGAGTTCGTCCGAATCCCCCAAGTCGAAGAGTTCGTCAACCCCGACGGCCCCTGGTTCAGGCGTTGCGGGTTTAATATAGGGGCCTTAATAATTGGAATAGGGTTTTGAGGCCCATTATACTTTAGTTATAATAAGGAACCCCCAAAACCCTATTCTAATTATTAAGGCCCCTAAACCCTAATAAGGAACCCCCAAAACCATTCTAACTATTAAGGCCCCCATATTCATCCAGCCTTGGAGAGTTTCCGGCTGAGAT